GCTCCATAGGCCGTAAAACCCAATCCAATCAATGTTGTCTAATTGTGTCTATAATATGGCCATTTAATGATTCATGCATCCATTTAAGTTACTTATGGGTTACTATTACACATACTATGTTACAATTGATTCTGTCTTGCATCTTCCTGTTTTGCTAAAATACGAATTTGTTCGATTTTTACATTTATAACTTTACATTGAATTCTTCAATTCTGTGTTCCATTATGCTTATTAGTTACTTTCATACATGGGTTAATAGTACGTTCCCTCTTGGGAAAAAAAACATGAATATTCAGGGATATGTACATGCATGAATCATGCATGTTTCTTGCATGTTTCATGCATAAATAACAGAATAGAATGCCCTGCCCAGACAGGTATTTTTGTGACTGTTTTGCACATAAAACGTGAATGAATTATTATGCATACATTTTCATGTACCAAAAGTGAAACCGTTTTCGTCCAAGTAACTCCTGCAAAATGAAAATTAATGGGTGATACATAAACAGTATATTCTCTGTACGAAGCATACACATTTCATGGTTGTTAATTACCACTGCTATGGCATCTTCTTTTTAGGGCTAAAATACTAGATTTCGAAACTATAGTTCACAAATTGTATATATTCATGAAATTGTTTTCAAAGATATAAGTACGCATAGCTAAAAAGTATTTTTAATCTAACCTATGATCTATCTCTCAAAAGTTTTCAGCTTAAAAATAGGAAATGGGTTAGATGCCCATTTCCTTTTTTCTATTTTCATTTTAAAAATCAGAAATAGATCAGACACCCATTTCCTATTTGCAACGTCAAATGGGAAAACAAACTAACGGTATGTACTGTGATTCAAAATGGTTCATTGTTTGTTACGCGGTGTGGTATGAAATCATTGACTAACGTCTCAAGAACATACTACTATTGCAGTCGCTCAGGTTACTTCGTGAGCAAAGGTGATGGCAAACGTTCCCTTAAATCCCAAGGCTCTGCCAGAATTAATAGTAAATGTTCAGCCTATATAACAACAACAAAGGACAAACACTCTGGCAAATTTTATGTACATTTTTGCCTTGACCACATCGGCCACACTGTAAAGCTTGCACATCTTCCACTTTCCAATAATATCAGAACAATGATTACCGGCAAGTTAGCAAGTGGTGTTCCCAGTACGTTCATTCTGAATGAAATACGCAATAAAGTCGTCAGCTTTTAAAGTCGTCGTTAGACAGAGACAGCATTGTTTCACGGCAGGATATTGCAGACATAAAAAAGCAATTTAATGTTACAGCAACGTTAGCATATACAGGGTGTTGTTTTTCACACAGGCAGATTGTGTTTCTAACCTCGAGACACCATCACCATGTCCATGATGCCTCGGTGCCATCAATGCACAAGGTGGTTCGAAATACAACTGCCTATGTCTATGAAGGTAGAGCTAGTAAAGAAGGTGAATGGATGGAATACACCTAATCTTCTACTGAACTTCTGTTTACCCAGCATTGACGTTTAACTAACCTACTGATTTTATCCCTTAATATTCAGGTCTGCCATAGAATGACAAGCGATACGTGGGTAGATGAGATCGGGTACTTTTAGCAATAGAGTATGGTGAGAGATCAAGGGCTCAGCATTCCGGCTGCCGCAAGTCAACAATATGCCAGCTTTTTACGTATTTAGAAGTCAGACCCATTTTATTTTGATTTCTGTACGAAATTGAAGCGTAAATGACTCTGAATCAGAGCAGGAAGACACAGAAGACATAGAATAAATCATAAACTAAAACATGGAGGAAGGGGTACTGCCAGTTACGAGAGCAACAGAGGTAGGTGCAAGTAAAAATGATTTTTTCAAGCT